AAAAAAAAAAAAAAAAAAAAATTTCAAAAAACCCAGTTCACATAGAGATATATGTGAGAGAGAATATTAATGAATAATAAAACAAATGTGTTAAAGTATTAATATTTAATGAATCTGGGTAAAGGATAAACAGGAAATCTATTTTTGTAACTTTTGCAAGTGTGAGATAATTGCAAAATTTTTAAAAAATGTTTTAAAAACCTCATTACGGTTTTCCTCAGACCAGAAGGTAGGTAGCACACCAATCAGCTTTAACTTTTCTTTGAAATTATACTGGTAGAAATGGATTTTAACAGTGAATGATTCAAGCAAATGGACTTACTTTTTGCTCCATTGCCTGACAGGCCTACTTTTCCTCCTACTCTTCCTGACCTCTGATAACAACCAATCTGTTCTCTATATTCTGAAATCCACTTTTTTAAGCTCCCACTTAAGAGTGAGACTGTGCCGTATTTGTCTTTCTGTGCTTGGCTTATTTTACTTAACATAATGACCTCTAGGTCCATCATGTTGCTGCAAATGATGGAATTTCATTCTTTTTTATGGCTGAATAATATTCCATTGTGTATATATACCACATTTTCTTTATTCATAGTCCATTTACATTCAGTGTTGTTATTGATAAGTAAGGACTTGCTACTGCCATTTTGCCACTTGTTTTATGGTTGCTTTGTAACTCCTTTCTTACTGTTTTTGTAGTTTTTTTCTAGTAGTATGGTTTAATTCATTGCTCTTTATTTTTAGTGGATTTATTACAGGTTTTTGTGCTGTGGTTATTGTGTCACTTACAAAAAACCGCTTATGGATATAAGTTATTATTTTATTTTATTTTATTTTATTTTTTATTGAGAAAAGTTTTCACCCTGTTGTCCAGGCTGGAGTGCAGTGGTGTGATCGTGGCTTACTGCAGTCCTAACTTCCTGGGCTCAGGTGATCCTTCTACCTCAGCTCCCCAAGTAGCTGGGACCACAGGCACATGCTACCACACCCAGCTGATTTTTATTTTTTATTATTATTTGTAGAGATGGGGTTTTGCTATGTTTCCCAGGCTGGCCTTGAACTCCTAGGCTCAAAAGATCCTCCCTTTTTGGCTTCCCAAAGTGCTGGGATTGCAAGTGTGAGCCACTGTACTCACCCTATAACAAGTCATTTTAGGCCGGGTGCAGTGGCTCACACCTGTAATCCCAGCACTTTGGGAGGCTGAGGCAGGCAGATCACGAGGACAAGAGATCAAGACCATCCTGGCCAATGTGGTGAAACCCCGTCTCTATAAAAATAAATAAATAAATAAACCAACTCATTTTAAGAGATGATAACTTTTTAAAAATTGAGACAGGATCTTGCTCTGTCCCCCAGCATGGAACGCAATGGTGTATCCATGGCTCACCGCAGCCTTGATCTCCTGGGCTCAAGTGCTGCTTCTACCTTAGCCTCCTGAGCAGCTGGGACTACAGGCATGTGCCACCATGCCTAGCTAATTTTTTGTGTTTTTTGTAGAGATAGGATCTTACTATGTTGCCCAGGCTGGTCTTGAACTCCAAAAGAATAGAAATGAACAAACAAAAAACCATAAAAACATTCTACACTTTCACTCTGTTCTGCATACATTTTAACTTTTTGTTGTCTCAATTTACATATTTTTATATT